TTGTCTTTGATTATTTTTTTGTTGGCTTCAACAAAGTTTTCTACTAGTTTTGTTTGTTCATTGTTGAGATGATTTTTAAGGGATTCTAGTTCTTCTTTGATTTCGTTTATTTCTATCTGAGCTTGCTGCTCTCAGTATCCTCGCTGTTTCAAACTTAATTTCATAATTTCTTCATCGCTAAATCCTTTATTGCTTCATCTTGAAATTGAATAGTCTTCGTATTCTTTTTTTAATTGTCCGTTGTTATTGCCATGATTTAGCAACCATTCAGCTTCAGTTTTTTTAATATCTCTTAATCATTTGGCATAATCAGCATCAGTTGCTTGCAAACCACTATTTATTCATTCCCTACACTCTTCATAGTTAAACCCTTTACCTTCTCATTCTTTTTGTAATTCTTCTGTAAAATTTATGTCTATATTTTTCCAATTTACCATATTTTTTTAATATTTACTCTTATTTTTTTTGCGAATCCTCACTATTATAAGAATACCAAAAATTAAAACTACTCCAATTACTCCACTCACTATATAAAGAACAATTTTATCACTTGGTTTATTAGTAGTATTAGAACTATCCTTTTCTGCTAACAATCTATCTAATTCCTTCTTTTTACTAGTTAAAAGTGCTTCTTCAGTTGGGGTTCGAGTGATTTATTCTCTAACTCTTTCATTTCTGCTTGTAAATTAGTAATTTGAGTAGTTAAAGGTAATTGCTGGTCTAATTGTTTTTGTTTATTTTCTTTCTCGTTCTTGCCTTTAATATACCCTTCTAACATTTCTCAAACTCCTTCTTCCTGATAAGCAGGGGTTGGTCAGCATTCAGGTAATTTCTCTTTTTCACTATTTTTTTCTTCTTCCACTTTTAACCCTAATTCTCTATCATTCTCATCTCAAATTCTTTTCCATTCTTCCTCTCCTATTTCATCGGCTATCTGTTTAAAAATTTCAGAGTGTTTTATTCGGTTGCTTTTTCATTTCTCTCCAATTTTTTTGACATCTAGATTTTCTGAGAAAAAAACTTTTTCTTTCTCTGCTAACTCATCAAGGCATTTCCGACAAAGTTTAAATAAATGAATGTTATCTCGTTGTTGACCATCATTTTTTTCCTGCAAAAAATTAATTCGAAATGAATGATTTTTCTTTTCTGCTTGTTTTTCTTTATCAGTTAAAATTAAGGATTTCTCAACCTCTTTAAGTTTGTCATAAAATTTAGGAAGTTTGGTGATTAATCTACGAAGCCTTTTGAGAAAAATTTCAGTGTCATTAATGAAATCACGAACACCAACAAGAAAAGCAATATTATAACTTTGTTTCTGACAACAAGCATCACAGACATAGTTTTCTTTCCTATTTCAGCAATTATTACATTCGGTTGCTTCTCAGCTAATTTGTTTTTCACAATCGGAAAATCCACATTTTCTTATGACAGGTACATTATTTTCAATTTCGGCTCATTCTTCTTCAGTAAATCCATTTTTAGAATGACTCTTGCTTCCTATTTCTTTTTTTCTAACCACCATTTCTTTTGATTTTCATTCCTTTTCTGGCAATCCTTCGAGTTCAACTCAAGGCACTTCTTCCTCCTTAATTTCCCATTCTTGGGGATTTTGTTTAATTATGTTGATGATACCTCTTTTTATTTCAAAAAAATGGTTTTTTATGTATTCATGTTCCTCCTCGACTTCTTTTTCAAAAATTTCTGGATCCGACACGCAGGTTGGGAGTCTGGCACTAATTTCTTTGTTAAATCACATCATTCAATTTGCTCCCGAACCATACTCTAATCCTAACACCGCTTTTTTTAATTCTTCCGGTGTCCTTTCTTTATTTAACTGTTCCTCTACCCATTTTCTTTCTTCCGGTGTTCTCGTAATACTTTCGTCTATAACTCATTTTTTTCTTGCCATAATTTTAATTTCTATTTAAATATTCTCTAAGCATATCCTTAAATATACTTGGTTTAGGTTGCACTTCAACACAAGCATCCATTTTTATTCCATCCCGATTAACATCAAAGAACCGTTCTCCGTATCCTCTTATTTCGCTTATATTACCTTTGTAATTATATTTACTATCAAATTCCCTATTAGTTTCATTAATTTTTTCCGAGATATTTAATTCCTTGGTATACCAGTTGTTTTTCTTTTCAGCATATTCAGAAAAATTAAGACCTAACACACACTTATTTACCATATGTTCGCAATTATTATAATTTATGTTATAATTACTGTTGTGTTCGGAAGAAACGGAAGATATTTTGAAGCTAGAAGAACAGCCATTTCTCAATGTAATACTTTTGGCAATATGTTCGATTATCTTATCTTTATGCTTAAAAGGAATTACTGGATGATAGCGAATCATTTTATTGTCTCCCTCCAGCGCCTTAAAAAATTGACTTCAATTTTCATCTGCTATTACAGTTTCTTTTCTTTCATTAACATAAAGATGGCAAACTTTTCCACTACCGAGATGTATACCAGTATGAACCATTCATTTCCCATTAGAACGAGGAGCAAATATTTTCACAATATCTAAAGGTTTAAAATAATCATCAGGGTTATTTTTGGCTGCATAGAAATCCGAACCTGTTAACTCAATTCTTTTAATTTCTTCACTTCCAACTATTCCTCCATATGCAATGGGGAAAAGACTACTGTTATAGTCATCGTAATAATAAACACTTAATTTTGTTGTAGGTGTTCCACAAAGTATTGGATTATCACTTTGCAATTTTCCCTCTACTTCTTTTACTTTTCTTCTAGCCTCGTATAGTGCCTGGACAAATTCATTCAATAGAAAATACTTCAAAAATCTCTCACATTTTAGTTTCTCCATTTTTCTTATAGGGCATTTCATAAACAATTAATTTTACTCAATAATCATTTTCTTGACCATCAACGAATAGTATCAAATTATTATTTCGTCAAGCGGAAAAGAAGTTCATTTGATAAACTAAATAATTAGGAAAAGAACGGCCATTTTCCAACTTTGTAATATTTCTCTCTAATATATCATTTCAGTATCATATTTTTAAAAAATCTCTTCGCTCACATTCAGGATAATAATCACCTACTCCAAATTTTTTAATTATTTCTTTTTGGCTGTAATTTATATCATTGCTGTTATATCAGCCTTGTAATGATTTTTTTGGCATATTATTTTTATTTTCTTAAATATTATATAGGGAAATATTACCTATATTATATATTTTACAAATTAGTTGTTTTGATATTTAATTTTTGTAATCAATTTTCCATAAATATAAACCCGCCGCTGGGGCAATATTTTTATATTTGTAATTTTTTTTATTATAGTTAACTAATTTTGCTTGTAAATCATTAACCGTTTGTTTTCCCTCATAACAATTAATAACTTCACCAATTATCGCTCTAATTTGGTAGCGCAAAAAATTTTTGGCAATAATGCTAATGACAATAATATTTTTTCTTTTTCAACCTTTTAGGAAAGTAATTTCCCGTTCGGTATTCACTTTTTCTCGTTCTTGCCAACGACAATAAGAATAATTAAAAAAATTGTGCCGACCTTGGAAAACTTGGAGAATGTTATTTAGTTTTTTAACTGCCAGTGGTAAATTGTATTCTCAACGATATTTTTTTTGTCAAATATTAATTTTTTTGGTATTAATAAAATAGCGGTATTCTTTACTAATAACATTATGGAGTGGGTGAAAATTATCAGTTACTTTTTCAACCTTTTTGACTAAAACATGTTCGCTAAATATTTTTTTTAATAAAGTAAATAACTTTTCCTCAGAAAAATTTAAATTAAGTCGCAGAGTAAATTTTTGTTCACGGGCATGAACCCCTTTATCGGTGCGACTAGTCGCTAAAATATTAATTTTTTGTTGAAAAATTTTGCTTAAAGCGGTTTCGATATAACCTTGAACAGTAAATTTATGCGGTTGAATGGCTCAACCAGCAAAATCGCTGCCGTCATAAGCCACAGTAATTAAATAAAAGTAGAGTTTTTGCTCCTTTTTCATTCAATCCTACTTTTAATGCAAGTCCTTTTTCAAGAAGTTCTTGTAAGCCAGCGATAAAGTGAATAAAGCCAAGCCAATAATTACTCCCATAATAGTCAAAGTAGTTAAAAGATAATTTTGACCTAGTCATTTGAAAAAATCTCTACCTCATTCGAGTATTTTTTCTCCCACTCCTCCCCCATAACGAAGGGCTTGAAAAACAAGCAGTCCCAAAAGACCAAAAAAGATGAGGGACAAGCGACCAAATCATTTTAGAATAGTGTATCAGACTGAGCCCAAAGAAGCCAAAGCGAACAAGAAAATTACCAATGGGGCAAAGAAAAAGCAAGGAGCAATTAGAAAATTTCAAGCCAAGAAAAGAAAAGTGTGTAGTCCGGTAAAATTACTGAAATAATTGGCTTTTCATAACAGGAGAGAAAGTGGCAAGGCAAACAAAATTAAATACGAACCGACCAGCAAACTAGTCAAGAAAGTTACTTTTCCTCAAAAAATCTGTTTCCGACTGGTTGGTATTTCCGTGGATAAGAAAAATAAATCCGTGCCGTCAGCCTGCGTTTTTTGCCCGATATCGTCAAATTGTCACCAGAAAAATCAAGAAATCGGACTAATCCAATAAGTTCAAACAAGAATAGGAGCAAATAATAAATTAGGAAAGATGCAAGCAAAAAAATCGTTAGTGCTGTTAATTTTTGGATTAATTGATTCATAACCACCTTTTTTAGGCTCGTTCCTTTCCTCGCTGTTTTCTTCCCTTGTCTCTATTTCTATCTGTTGTTTGCCGAGAAATCAGTTATCTTTTCTAATTACAAAAAGAAGAAATCCAACGATAAACAAGTGTACAAACAAGATTATTCACGTACTTTTTTTACTAAAAGTTCTTTTGAAAAAATAATTTCAGGAATGACGAAAATTCATTTTTGTTTTGCACTGTATTTTATTAGTTTGGTTCATATCTAATAATTCAATTGGAGAACTCAATTATTAATTATCAACTGCCAGTCCAAGGAAATCTGGACCGGCTTTGTCTTGCAACTCTGGTAATTTTTCGGAAAAGATAAATTTGTTAAATTCAGCTTTGTCCGGTCTTTTCTTTAATTTTATCTTTAAGAACTAATTTATTACACATTTCTTCAATATCGTCCGGTTTTTCACCCGTATAAACTATTTTGCCTTTATCAATCAAAGTAGTGGCGTCCACTAATTTTTGTAAATCTGATAAAATATGGCTGGAAATTAACACGGTGCCACCTCGTTGGCGTACTTGTTCCAATTGTCTTAATAAAATACCACGATAAGAAGGGTCCAGACCGGAAGTTGGTTCATCCAGCACCAAAATATCCGGGTCATGCATTACCGAAACAAAATAAAGCAAAATCTTCTTTCAACCGGTTGACAACTCCCCACATTTTTTCAAACGATGATTATTTAAGTCGGATTGTCGCAAACGTTTTTCTACTTTTTGGCTGGGAATATTCCTTAATTGACCGGCTAAATGAACAAAGTCTTCCACCCGCAAATCCTCGGCAAATTGGGCTTGTTAGGTCATAAAGCCAATTTTTTGGTTAACTAACTCATTCTCGCCAATTTTCCTACTTTCTAAATAAATTTCCCCACCATTCGGTTTTACTCCACTCATCAAGCAATTTAAAGTAGTGGTTTTGCCGGCTCCATTAGGACCAATAAAGCCATGAATGCTACCTTTTTTGACCGCAAAACTAACATTTTGCAGTACTGTTCTGCTTCCATAAACTTTTTTCAGTTTTCTAACTTCAATAATGTTTTTTGTCATTACTATTATTTTTATATTATCGTTGAATTATGATTTTACTAAAATCTATTTAATAAGTTTTATGTTAATATTAAAAATACTCTTGTGAATTTTGGGAATAGCCATTATAATTTGTTCTTTTTTTTTCGGGGAAGAAGATAGTTTTTCACCGGCTCAGGAAAGAAAGGAAAACATTTATAAAGCCACTCATTTTACGAAATTAACTAATTTTATCCGTAATATTTATGTGGTATTGTTGGCAATATTTATCTCGTTGACTTTTCTTTTACCCAAACCTTAATTTTTTTAATGAGAATAATAGCAGTTTAAGTGTTATAGTAATTAGTAAACATTTTTTTAACTATTAGGGAGAGTTTATTACTCTCCCCTTTTTTCATCTCTTTCTTCATCAAACAACAATAGTGTTAGGATTGTATTTTTCTGTGTACCTGTATCAAGTCCTTGAATAAAAATCAGGGTCATAAATAGTGAAATTTTCAAGAGGAAGTGGTTCAAAAACACAACCAATTATCTCATCCTTAAATCAACCTTTTTTTATTTTGTCAACTTTCATTAGCACTTGATATTTTTTGCTATCTTTCTCGAATTCCAATACTACTTCGTTTTGCTTCTTGCCAACAATTTGACCTTCACTTCCCCGAAAATCAATTTCAAGTTCTTGCCGTTTAGTTAAGTCAATTAATTTATAATCATCTTTTGTTTAATCACCAAATTGACACAGAAACTGTCGTTTTTCTTTCATAAATCTTTACATTACATTATGCCAGTTGCTTTTTTTTATTTCATCTTCAAATGACATTAACAACTTTTTAATCTCAATTATTAGGAGAAGTTTTTAATTCCTCGCAACTTTTTTTAATTTGCTTCTTTTTCTTCATCAAATTATTCCACTTACCAAAAGAGCAAAAATAACTCCTACTATCATAAAACCCTTTCATCTTCACTGAGTAGGTATAATGGAAAAACTAGCTGAATCATCTTTTTTTCACATTTCATATCAGTTCTTTCCTCAAAATTTTGCAACTTCGTCTTCGCCATGATATATAGCAAACGAAGCATTGGGGGAAGATGGATAAAGACCATAGTCAGTCGCTTGGTCTCTAAATCAGCCTCTTCTCATGCCATGAATTTCCACACGAATATCATAGTTTTTGCCATCTTTTTCAAATCTAATCACCTTTCCTTTACTTGGTCTACGACTGTATTTTTTACCGCTTACACTCGTATAAGTTCTTTTCTCTCCTGGGTTCAAAACCCCCCCCCCCCTTCTTCTCACGTAATTTCTAAATCAACTATTTTTTGCAATTGTTTAATTTGACCATTTTCATCTTTAATCTTAACCTCAATTAGGAAATTTCTCTTTTCTGTCATCAAAATTTATTTTATTTCTTTCATCCCCGACCTGAAAATGAGGTCGGGGGCTTCTTGCTGGTTTTTTCCTGTTATAGTTTTTTCTTTAAAATTTTTGCTATTCTCTTGCCTCAAATAGCGTGGCACTAGTTTTATTCTGTCTAGTTTAGAACCTCACTTGTTTTTTTTAATAAGCCAAGCGAAGGATTTCTTTTTTACTTACTAGGAATTAACTTGGGGACTAATATTTTGCTGTCCAATTTACGCAAAATAATTCCTTTTGGTAAAAAAGTTTTTACTTATTATGCCAATTCTTTTCTTTAACTTCTAATTAGTGGAATCGACTAAGAAATCCAATTAGAACTTAACTTTGCCCTGTTTTACTTCCGGTAAAGTTCATATACATTCTTGCTAACTAAAATGGTTTACTACGAAAATGTGAAGTCATTTTTTACTTTGCTTTATCCATGGCTAAAAGAAAGTGGGGTAAGCAAGAACCCAAAATTAACAACTTTTTAATATCTTTATCATCAATTTATATTTTATATAGGTTTTGTTCTGTTGAATGTAATTATTTGTAAATTTTTATAATTATTAATAGTATAAATTGTGTGTTTTGTTGCTTTTTAAAACACTTCTCTAATTCTTTTAATACTTACTACCTTATTATTATCATCAAATTCCAAGACAACTCCATTAAACTGTCCGTTATCCTCAGTTGGGGTCATTTTGGCTGGTAACCCATATTTCGCTCGTTGAAAAATTACCTCGGGTTTGGCGCCGATAACCCCACCATAAGGTCCCGTCATTCCTAAATCAGTAATAAAACCAGTTCCGCGCGACAAAATTCTTTCATCAGCGGTTTGGACGTGCGTATGAGTTCCCCATAAAGCACTAATTTTGCCATCAAAGTATAAGGTTAAGGCAATTTTTTCCGCCGTGGTTTCGGCATGATAATCGACCAAATGAATATCTCAATCTTGTAAATTTAATATTTTTTCTAAGGCAAAATAGGGGTTTTCGGCCGCCATCGGCATAAAAGTAGTTCCCAATAAGTTAGTGATGCGAATTTTTTTGCCTTTAACTTTAGTTAAAATAGTTCCTGGACCTGGATGATAAGGATTAGAATTAATTGGTCTTAATAAATCCGACACTTCATTTATATATTTTCTGGTATCCTCAATAGCAAAGATATGATTGCCTGAAGTCATGATATCAATTCCATAATTTTTTAATTCCTGATAATGCTTGCGTGATATTCCTTTGCCATGAGTAGTATTTTCCACATTAGCGATAACTAAATCTATTTCATGTTCTTTTTTTAGTCGGAAAAGATTTCTTTCAATAACTCGTCGGCCAGTTTTACCAAATATGTCGCCAATTGCTAGTATTTTCATTTAATTTATTTTTTACTCGAAAATAAATTTTTCCATTAGACTAGTTTCATTTTTTTTAATTAACTTTTATCGCTATTCATTGTCATTGTCATTTTTTTCCTCACCGTTCTCCCTCATGAAGTAAAAAGCCGCCCCAAGAATTAACATTATTCCTGCAACTACTATAATTCCGATATAAATCGGATTTTTGTATCAAGGAGTTCCGTTGGTAGTGGACGGATCATTTTTTTTATTATGTTCCTCCTCTTCTTTTTTTTTAAGGGCGGCTTTTATCAGGTCTTTTTTACTTTCCATCTGCTTAATAAATTCCGTAATCGCATAGTCAATCCCCGTTACACTTTTAATTTTAGCGAAAACTTGGCCTTTTTCCTCATCGCTTTTTGCTTCCTTATACTCCCTTAACTTGTTAATATCCTCCTCAATTTTTTTCAAACCTGCCTCGTCATCTTGGTATTCACTGGAATCAATTATATTAACCCCTAATATTCGAACTAACTCTTTTTCCTTATCATCATTCTGATTTAATTTGAGCCGAGCTTTCATTCGTGGTCCATCCACTTTTTCTCACCTTTCCTTGGTTGCCGTATCAGTGGCGGCAGCTATTACTCCTTGCAGCATTTCCTCCAATTCGTTTTCTGTGGTTGCGGCTTTGACTTTGTCGAAGTCGGCTACTGCCTTTTGCTTAAATTCTTCTAACTTTTTCCAAGCTCCGGCTACATAACCATCCGAGTAATCTGCCTTTTTATCATCTTTTTTGTATAAATTTACTTTTTTTCAAGCCTCATTATTGGCATTTTTAGCCTCGGTCAAGGCTGACAATACGGTCGCAAAATTGGCACTATCTCGGGAAGTCATTGCATAACCTTGTTTGGCTTGGCTAAACAAGTCTTTAATAGCATTAATCTCGCTTATTTTCTTGATATTAGCAATTCCTATTGCGTTATAGGCATTATCTTTATCCACCTCATCTAGGAGTGTTTTCGCTGCCGTGCGAGCCGCCACCACTTTATTTGTCATTTTTTCTAATCCGCGGGTGGCTCAGCCTTTCCCAGCTTCTATTTCCACCTTGTTTGCCATTTCTCAAGCTTTCGCCCAATCTTTTTCTCCGTCATTACTTGCCTCCGCCGAGGAATATTTTTCCAAGTCGGCTAAGTTATCAGCACTGTTTCCGTGAGCGGTCTCTAATAATGGCACCAAAGTTTTTAAGGCTGCGAAAATTTCCGAAGTTATCTCGTTCAAGTTTTCCAAAAAAACTTTTTTGGCCGTTTCTGACCAATTTTTGCCGGCTCCGGTGGCTAAAAAATCACTTATTTGTTTTTTAATATCGCCTTTATCATCACCTTTTCAAATTGCTTCTAGCCGCTTATCAATTTGGGATAATTTGTCAGTCAAAGCCTCTGAATAAATAAATTTAACAAGAGTTTCTACATTTTTTTTAACTTGGTGCTCTGCTCTAAATTTGTCTTTACTATAAATACCAGCGGCCAAAACACCTTTCAAAAACTTTCTGTCCTCCTGGCATTCTTGCTCGTCCTTTTGGGAATAATCTTTATCTAAAATTGTCGCTCACTTTCCTAAGTGAAGAAAAAATCAATCAATAATTTTCATTAACTCTTTATTATCCTCATTATTATCGTTATAACTTTTTCCATCTACTTTAACTGTCGTGTTATTTTTGACAAAATCATAATATTCATCCAAGGTTGCCTGATGTGAACCAAATTCGTCTAAAAAGTGGTTAGGGGCAAATTTCTTATCATCAAAATTGCCAACAATTTTTGCCATAAATTCACCAAAATCCTTACTATTTTTAAGTTTAAATTTAATTTTAGTCATTTGGTGGTCTTTGCTGCTTTTCCCGCCCTTGACAACTTTTCAACTATCGGCTTTTTTCAAGTCATTTCCATCAAATTCGCCAGCAGCATTAATATCCCCTGGTTGGAAACCAAAAAGGTCTTTGGCTGCTACCTTATTAATGTCTTTAAAAATCGAAAGTTCCGCCACTTCATTACCACTACTATCTTTCACCTCCAACTTTCGCAAGTTATCAATATTTTCTCGTTCGCAATGTTCAGCAGGTTTAAACTCTAATTTTTCTTCCTTGCCCCCGCTAATGACAGAAAATTTTATATTTTCTTCTGCCCCTAGTGTTTTTTCTCTTTTCTGTTTTTCCCGGTCAATAATCGAAAATCCCTTATATTTACCACCCCCCAATCCGGTGCTTTGATTATCAGTTGCCACCTCCGTAATGGCTTGGATATTGCTTTTTCCCTCGTTAGTGCTTTCATCCAACTTATCCCAATTAGTCCCATCATTAATACTATTATCTTTGTTCAAAGAAGTGCCACCTTTTCTTTGGGCTATTCAATAGCCGTTCGCATTGGCTCGCAAAACATCTTCAATCGAGTCAAATCCAATTTTTCGTCACACTTTTAACTCTTGGACACAACTATATAAATACACAATTTCTGTTGCTAGATACTGGCTTTTGGTCCCATTATGTGCTTCCTCTGGTTCTAAGTATGCCTGTCGGTAAATAGTTTTTTTGGCGTTATCTTCCGTAATATTGGTCGCATGATTGTGGTCGTAATCAATATCCTTAGTGGTTGAAAATTTAGTCAATTCTTCAATAATTTTGTCTAACTCCGCTATACTTGGAATAGCAGAGTTATAAATTTGACAATAAGCCTTAACTAAATCAGCAAATACTTGCTTTTCGCTGGGGTCATTAGCAACTCCTGGCGTTCCACCAAAATCTTTTTTGTCCGTGTTATTATAATCAGCTTGGTTATTGTCAAAATTATTAATTTCCACTACTTCTTGCACTTTTGCTCAACTGTCAATTTTCCCACCTTCTGTTGGCAAAAAACTACTTTCGTCTAATACCAAGCAATCATCATCCAAATCGGGAAAACTGTTGGGTAATCCCTCAGCCGCTGTTCCAATAACATCCTGGTAATTAATTTTTTTGAGCGTAATGGTAAACTCATTATCGTCTTTTTTATCTTTAATTTTTTCTTTTCACTGGATGTAAAAATAAACTAATTCGGCTAACTTATCCGGCAAGGTCAATTTAATACCATGAATATCAGTGATATCAACATCAGTAGTCCCCCCCCCGGCATTCGTTCGGAAAGTATTGGCCTTTTCGGTTCCGCCTCCTACCTTGTTTTTTATTCTCTTACCATCCTCACTTCACACATCATTATTAGCCAGTCGGTGACCACCATAACCTGTCCCAGGACCAGCCAGTATTTTAATTTCTCTTTTTCCATTTGCCGCAGCATCAATAGTTATTTGCCTTACCGTAATTGTTATTCTTGTTGTTGACATATTAAATTAATTGTATAGTTGTATATGTTATATTATTTTAGCAAAATTAGCAAAAAAAAAAAAAAAAACAATAATTTTCCTTTAAATTTCTCCGCTAAAAAACAAAAAAATGGCACAATTACTTACCATTTTTAAGACCTCAAACCAATTTATAAAAATACCAACAATTTAAAAATTTATTAATCGATAACAATATGAGTAAAATTAAAACCTGTCTAGGTAATAAATATGTGAAAAAGCCAAGATTTTTTACGGGCATTCAAGCCAGCGGAACCCTTACACTGGGAAATTATTGCGGATTAATCAATCACATTTTAAAAATTCAAGGCGATTATGAAGTAATTGTTATGATTGCTGATTTACATGCTTTAACTATTCCCAAACCTAATTTTGATTACCGGGAAAAGTGCTATGAAATTGCTTCCTTGCTTTATGCTTGTGGCCTCCAAGAGGAAAAATGTAAAATATTTATTCAGTCGGAAATCAAAGAGCATTTGGAATTAACTTGACTATTAGCTCCTTTTACCACCGTAAGTGAGTTAAATAACATGATTCAATACAAAGAAAAAAAGAAAAATGAGGAGACAGGTAATTTGGCTTTATTATCCTACCCAGTCTTAATGGCCGCTGACATTTTTCTTTATGATACTGATTTAATTATTGTTGGCCAAGACCAAACTCAACACCTTGAATTAGCCCAGCACCTAGCCCAAAAATTTAACAATTTTTATGACCAAAAACTGCTGAAAATTCCCCAATTTACTATTCCTCGCTTTGGAGCCAAAATCATGGGCTTAAAAAATCCAGCCAAAAAAATGTCCAAAAGTGAAAATGATTATATTGCTCTATTAGATAAACCCGAGATTATTATCAAAAAAATAAAAGAAGCCGAAACCGACAGCGAAAATAAAATCTATTATGACCCAAAAAACAAGCCTGGTATCTCCAATCTTCTAACTATTTATGCTTTATTAAACAATCGAGAAATAGAAGCGGCGGAAAAAGAATTACAAAACCTCAATTATCACCAATTCAAATTACAAATTATCGACTTACTTAATGGCAAACTAGGAAAAATCCAAGCAAGATATAATCATTGCCTTTCCAACATTAAAGAAAAATTAGAAAAAAATAATATTTATTTACAAGATTTAGCAGAAAAAAAGATAAAGTTAATTAAAAATAATATTAAAATTTAAAATAAACAGAACTTTTTTTCCAAAAACCCACTAATTACTAAGTATCTAGCAACTAGCTTTTACCTTTTTGGTCTATATAGTATATTTAATAAAAAATCTAAATGGAGTGTCTATATAGAAATTAATAAAGTATTAAAATACGGTATATGACACGAATCACTTCTACAACTAAAAAAAATAAAGAAAATTTGAATGATAAGTTTAATTTACCTACTACTTGAACTAAGCATAAAATTAAAACCTTGTTGCTTTTTACTCTGCTTGGTACTTATCAAACAAATGCTGGTTCGCAATTTAATGAGTGCTTAGGTACTGATTATTATAAAGCCATCTCTGACTTTGCTAGCACTGTAGCTGATAAACAATTATTTTGTTGCACTCATACTAATTATGTCTATAATTGTTTTTCAAATCCGGGAGGCGGTTATTGCGGTTTTATATTAAGAGTCCAATGTAACAAAATTGGTCAATCTAAATTTTGTATTACAAAGGGAGGATATCCGAAGTTTGCTTTACCAGGCGGTTTATGTGGTGGCATTATAGGAGATGCACCTGCTGCTAATAATACAGTAGGCACTTGTCCTAATTTAAATCCAGTAGCTGATACCCTAAAAAATTCTAACACTGTTCCAAATAAATTTAGTTGGCTGTGTTGTGATGCAAACACTTGTACAGCACCAGTTAACGTAGCATTAGCAGATAAAACTGCTAATACCAATTGTGGACTTGGTCAATATAGTTTAATGTGTTTTAATGATGGCAGTGGTTGAAGTTGCGCTGGTAATATAAGTTCCAATTTTAATGATATTACTCAGCCTATTGGCTCTTGTGTTTTACAAGTAGCACCACCCGTTTTTAGCGAAACCCCAGTTGTTTCTTCTACTTTTGTTGCTAGCAAGTCTGTTTCCACAGTAACAGTAACTGCCTTTCCTAACGAAGATTCTCATTTGACTAAAAAAATTGCTATTCCAGTCGGAACCATAGTCGGCGTGGCCGCTGTCAGCGGAGTAACTTATTATCTAATTTCTCGCAAAAGAAAGAAAAAAAATAATTCTTCTACTCAAGAACAAAACAACAGCAGTATTGAATTAGTAGAAACTAATCGAGAAGCTGAAGATCATGAAGTAGTGGAAGAAAACAAGGACAGCTGAGGAGAAATCACAACCAAACAACAAGAATTAGAAAGTTTAATCAAAAAAACTAGGAATAAAATAGGTAAAAAGTTAGAAGTATCCTTAGAAACTTTACTTGATACCCAAGCTGAAATCGCTAAGGGCAATAACACTTATACTCTCCGGCAAACCTTAAGAGAAGCCAAAGAAAAGTTAATGAAAAAAATAACTAGTGAAGAAATAGACAATCTTTGCCAATTAAAAAGTGAGATAGTTCAGACAACAGAACAAGTTTTAACTAACCTCTCTGAACAAAGACCAGAGTTACAAGCCCAAATCGAACAAGTATCTAAATAATGCCCCATGAACCATTTTTTAGCAAAAAAAAAAAAAAACAACCGGTTAGCACCGGCTGAGGAAAAATAACTAAGTGATTATGTATCAAGGAACAAGTGAAAAATTGCAAAAGAAAATCCAAGAATTTAACGCTAATTCGGAGTGATTTATTTTTAGCCAAGGTGATTTGGAACCCAATTATAAGGAGATTTCGGGAAAAAGATATAATATTTTCTCCTCCGAATTAAAACAAAAATTAGGAGAGATTGTTTCGCAACGAAAAACTTCCGGGGATGATATTTCTTCTTCTCCCGCTATTATTGAGGCTCAATTATCCCTTGACCCAAACAAGCACAAGGAAAGTTCCGGTCCTGCTAATTATTACTGGTGGTTTTCAGTTAGAAAAGAACACATTTATCAGCAGGCTCGTAAGAATGGAGGGAGTTTAATATCACTATTACCGAACAACCAAAAGGGGAATTGAATTGCTACCACTACCGAAGGTTTGGGTTATATTTTTGGTGATGAGAATTATCGTCGTTCGCCTGAATGAAAAGAAATTTACCAAAGTGAGAAAAAAATAGTAGAAGAAAAGTGGAAAAATTTCCGAAATACTTGTCGTTCGGCTCGAACAGAAATAAAGAACAAAATAGAGGAAGTGAATATGGACCTTGCTGAGGTTTTCGCGAACGGATGAGAATATTTTGATTTACAGCCTCAATATTGCTTCTGTGGAGATTCTCCCAACGAACAAGAAAATTATTATTGAGACCATATAACTTGGTGCTTAAACCGTGAAGAAAAGGTTAGCGAATTTAAAAATAAGGTTCTGAAAATCATCGAAAGAAGCGCCGCCAGGTTTAACCAGCGTCGGAAAGAAGTTATTGAAAAAGCCAAGCAAGAGGCACAAAATAAGGGGATACAACTGGAATTTGATTTTTGAGAGCAAGCAGTTTACCAGTGTCGAAATAACGAGCGACTAAATGATTGTAAGAAACGAATGATGAACTTAATTCAAGCGCTCGCTAATATAGGAGAAGAAGGAAGAAAAACAAGAGAACAAATGGCTCGTGAGGAAGCAAAAGAAAAACAGGAGCAAGCTGAGAAAAAGAAGAAAGACCAAGCAAAAAAGGAAAAAGACAGAAAAGAAAAAACCGAACAAAAAGAACGCGAAAGAGCAGAAAAATTACAGAAAGAGCAAGAAGCCAAAGAAAAAGAGGCGGAGGAAAGATTTAAAAATAGTGAAGACAAAGATTCTGGTTTCCAGCAAAAAAAAGAAGAAATAGATAATAAAATAGCGGATTTAGAAAAGAAACTCCACGACCAGGAAAAATTAGGAGACGCTGATAATCCTTCCCGCAAAAAAGAGAAAGAAGATTTAGAAAAACAATTGTGAGACTTGCGAGCAAATAACCTTGCCAAAAAACCCCTTGCTCCTTCTAATAATCCTAATAATCAAAAGAAAAAACAAGATGACCCGACAAACAATAATTTTTCGCAAAAGTCTAGTGTTCTTAATTTTAGTATTATTTTCTTACTCGCACTCGGAGTTTTTATTATCGGCGGAATAATTATAATTGCCTCGGCTAGAAAGAACAAGCGGAAAAATTAAATAATGAATGATTTCTTAGGAAAAGAATTTTATTTAGACAAAATTGATCCAACCTGAGTCCCTTTTTTTCAGCAGGAAACCCAAAAAAGTTACTTTTTTCCTTTACTTGCTAAATTGAGTGAAGAATACAAAAATTATAAATGTTGACCTAGAAAAGAAAATATTTTTCGGCTTTTTCGGGAAATTTCCCGCGATAAAATAAAAGTAGTAATCTTAGGCCAAGACCCTTATCACTTGCCGGAAGTAGCGGACGGAATTGCTTTTAGCACCCAAAAACCTAATTACCTACCGGCTAGTTTAAGAAATATCTTTTTGGAGTTTAGTAAAGACCTTAATTGTGTTCCTCCCACCAAAGGCAATTTGCTACCCTGGGTTAAAGAAGGAATTTTTTTAGTTAATACTGCCTTAACAGTTCGCGACGGCCAAGCCCTCTCGCATATGAAATTATGAGAAGAATTTATTTATTCGCTATTAGATTATTTAAACCGCCACGACCAGAAAATTATCTGAGTATTTTGAGGACGTAAGGCTCAAGAAATTGGCGAAAAATGTGGCATTAGTAAAAAAAATGCCAATAATTACCTAATAATGAGCCCACACCCTTCCCCTTATAGTGCCGAACACGGCTTTTTTGGCTCGCGACCCTTTTCGCAAATTAACCAACTATTAGCGGAACTCGGTCAAGAACCAGTTAATTGGTTAACAATTCTTCAACCAATTTTGGGAAAATCTGGTTAATTGCCTGTTTTTTTCCGAAAGAAAGTAAAAATTAACTCCTTTTAATGCTCTTCTTTCTTTTTAATAATAGTCCAATTACTAAACCAATTGTTAGGGCAACGGCTACACTTAATCCTATTACTAGTGCGTGGTTATTATCCGTAGGCTTGCCGACTGACCCTGTATTAGTTTCATTGGTGCTGCTGAAAATTTTATCTAACTCGAACCGACTTAAACTACTTTTGCCACTCTTTTGACAATAATTTTTAATTGTTTGTAATTCTGAATTATTATTTACTTGTTCGGCAGTCATATTGTGAGTTTTTGAGTTATTAAATTCAACAATTAATTGACCTTGGGAGGTTAAGGTTATTCTTTTAATGTCCGAGAGATTAATGACTAAGGTTTCATTAGGCGACTTTTCAGTAGGATTAGCAAGATTATTTTTGCCTTCATTCTCTTTATTTTCAAATTTAATGGTTTTAGCATTATTTTTTGCTTCGGACTGATTATCTTTTCCTGGATTTGTTTTTGAATTATTACTTTTATCGCTTGCGTCGGTTATTAGACCCGAGGATGAAGGAGAAGTCAGATTAGGAGGTGGCAAGTTATCTTTATCATCACTATTATCTTTTTTTGCTATTGTGTAGTCTCTTAATACTAATTCCTCGTACGAATTATATCCAAACATTTTTTCATAAAACTCCTCCGTTATTTGAGCGGGAACCAAGTGTGGTTGGCTAGAAACATATTTTCCGTTTTTAACTTTTCAAAAACTACCATCAGGGGCTCATCCTGAACCGTAACCTTCTATATCCCTTCCTCTCCAAAATTTTCCTGATTTATACTTTCCGAGTTTCAAGTTCTCTATCAATCGCTCACATTCTTTTTCTCGCTCGGAACTAGACAGGGAATTTCAATAATTTTGGGCTTTTTTCTGGGCTTGGCAAAAGTTTTCGAAAATTTGCTTTTCCTCGGCTTTTATTCTAGCCCTTAACTGTTGATAGGTTTCCGTTTGACCTTTACAGTGCTGACAAAAATCTCCTTCACCAATTGGAACAGATAAATCACATTGGTTAAACTGTGTTGAGCCTCCATAACCTAAGCCCTCGTCGTAGTGAACAGAAAATGCTCCCTGACAACGTTTTAACTTACTTTTTCTATTTTCGCTATCACTACATTCTCGACATTCACAACAAAAAGTGTCGATATCATAAGTATGATCGTCCACCAGAACCGAGTTTCCTCTCCACTTACCCATTTCCTCTAAGCGAGTTATTGATTTATTACATCTGCTACATTTTATATTTCTTTCTTCCATTAAACACATAATACAAAGAAGTTGTCCGTTTTTTTTGAAAAAGTGTTCATGGTTACAACTAGAGGCAGAACAGGTTGCTTTTAAACCCGAATATGTTTGGTAGCATTTGCTACATCTTTGATTATTAAATTGATTTGACATATCTTTTTTTAAAATTTTTAATTTTATATTTTTTTTAGTAAATTGTTTGTATTTTTAAAACGCAAGTCGCCCGACACCCACTGATTTTACTCGCCTAATATACTTCCAAAGAAGTTGTTTTTTTTTTTTTTTTGCTAGTTCTGTCATGTTGCTTATTAATTTAGTTTATTATATATAATATTTTTTGGTTGGTGGTTTATTTTGTAAAATTTATTAATGAGATACAAGGACTTATTAAACACTAATGATATCCTTAATTTGCTAACTAACAAGTTAAACTTTACTTTAAAACAAATGGGGCGGAGTGTTTTTTTCCTTTGTCCTTTTCATAGCGATAAAAGTCCCAGTTGTAGTTTTGAACCTAATCGCAAAATATTTACTTGTTTTACTTGCGGTTTTAAGGCCAGTGATATATTTAACTTTTGAGCTCAGTATAAGAAAATTAGTTTGGAAGAAGCAGTTGAGGAAATTAGCCAAATGGGTTATTTTTCTTTATCAGTTTTACAGGAAAAAAAGAAACAAGAGCAAAAATTTAAAGATAAAAAATTTTATTTGCTTTCGCTAATAACTGATATTTATCAGCATAATTTACTGACCCAACCGGGTCGGGAAGTATTGAACTATCTTCACAATGAACGCCAGATAGATAAAATAATGATTGACCGTTTTGGTTTAGGTTGTAGCATCAGTAATTGGCAATTAAGCACACTGCTTTTTCTCCAAAAAAATGATAACTTTTCCTCGGAAGATTTATTAGCCGCTAACCTGGTTTGAATAACTGAGAATAATCGAGTTTGTGATTTTTTTCCCGCTCAGCACTTAATCATACCCTTAGCCAACCCAGAAGGAAAAACGGTGGCTTTTGTGGCACGAAAAGTTGGCAAAGTGCTACCAGGAGAAGGAAAATACAAATATTTGCCTAGTTATCAATACTATCAAAAATCTTCCTTATTATACAATTATCTCGCAGTAAAAAAAAGTCGAGTCGAAGAATGTTATTTAGTAGAAGGATTTTTTGATGTCATTAGTTTAACCAAGTTAGGAGTAGAAAATTGCCTGGCTTTGCTGGGAACCAATTTATCCGAAGAACAACTGAAACTTTTAACTGAATTAAAGCAACGAATTATTCTTTTTTTAGACAGCGATAAAGCCGGGCAAGAAGCTACCATTAGTGTAGCCACGAAATTACTATTACGAGAAGTTGACTGCGAAGTAATAAAAAATGATTATTCGGGCGACCCCGATGAAATTTGTCAGCAACAAGATCCAGAAAGTATTAAAACTATACTCCAAAGTCGCGAAAACCCCTACTCATTTATTCTCAACTATTATTTTGTCAAGTGAGAAGTCCAAGATAATCCACAAAGAACCAACCGTTTTATTAGTGAACTAGCCAATATTTTCCGCAAATTCAAAACCAATGTCTATGATTTTTTAATCAGCAAAATAAGCGCCTTGACTGGCTGAAAAAAAGCAGAAATTGAACCGCACTTTATCCACTGAAATTTCCCAGCTTTCAATCTTCGTCATTTACAAATTACTTATTGTCAAGAGTTAATTAAGAACAAAGAAAGAAAAATAATCTACTTCTGTGCCAAGGAGCGAATTTTTTGACTACTTAGCAGCGAAAAAGTTCATTTCTTTTTCAGCAAAGTTAACCAAACAAGGTATCATGATATCTATAATTACTATATGTCCTCCCACTATAAAAATTCTTATTCCGAGAACTATCCTGCCCCTGAATTTGTTGAAAATTATGCTATTCCTTCCCCTAACAACCAAAAGGGAAAAATTATTGATATAGCAATGCAAGAATTAGACAATGTCAAACGTTTTCTGTTAAATTATGAATAAACTCTTTACTCTCAAACCAAAAAAGGAAAAGGAATTACTGAAAGCCGCCAAACCAGTAGTAACAATTTTCTCCGCCATCAGTAGTCTACAAAAAGAAATTTCCGACAAAGAAAAAAAAATAAAAAGTAAACGGGCGGTGCCAGGAGAAATTGAAAAACTAAAAGATGAACTAAAAAAAAAGGAAAAGGAGTTAGGAAAAATGAGTGAGGCAAAAATTGAGGAAGGCAAGAAAGCCATTCGTTTTCTTCTTCATTATAATCAAAATCTGGTTAAGTATATCGTTAAAGGTTATTCTTCTTTTAACCGAAAAATTGACCACGAAGAATTGACCGCGGAAGGAATTTCCTCTTTACCAAAAGCCATCGAAAAATTTGACTTAAATAGTAAAAATCGTTTTGCTACTTACGCTGGTTATTGAATTAAACAATATATCCAAAGTTATATCAACAAAAGTCAACTGATTAATCAGGGTTCGGGGGTCAAAGAAAAAAAAACTGTAATTTATTATGACAGTAATTATCAAAATGAGGATAAAGAGAGTAAATCTTATTCACTATTGGAGACCTTACATGACGATGAAAATGCTGAGTTGACTGCTGATCAGGTTCGTCACCAAGACACTATAATTCAGACTAATAATCTAATCAACGCTTTAGGAAATCGGGAAGCGATTTTACTGATTCGCTTGTTTTATAAAATAAAACCTTCTAATTTGCTAGATATTTATTGCTTGGCCACCGAAGAAGAAAAACAAGAATTAAAGAAAAAAATGAAGTTGGGTGATAAATCCAACCCCGAAGCACTCCAAAAATACTCCTGTGAGGAAAAAAAGGTTCATGATTTACCACTGGTGAAAAATTATTTATCATTATTTACTAAAAGTTATCGATTTTCCGAGTTAAGTAAAATTCTTGGCAAGTCAGAAAATATGGCTCGTCGGTTAAAGCAAGAAAGTTTCAAAAAACTACAAAAACTGGCCAAGGAGAGAAAACTTCACTTTTTGATTGAGTAATAATTCAAGCGTTTAAGCCTCAATTATTAAGATGGCTCCAGCCGCAAAAGGAGGCTTTTTTGCGGCTAAGAGGGGATTTGTTTATTCTCTCCTCATTTGGCTAATTCTAGCATCAGAACCAACCTAAATCTACTTCTTAATCTTTTTAGACTTCTTAAATTCTTTTTCACCAAAAAAAATAAAAAGTAACAGACAAAATGAAAACTAAAGTTAATATTAAAAGAATAACCGCAAAAACTTTATGCTTCTGCTGAATTTTATCAAATTTTTTCGCACATTTCTTGCAAAACACTCCACCTGAATTTAAAGGTTGATCATTTATAAGAATATAGGAAAAAGCTGATTTACTAACTTCCTCCCCAGGAGTAATTTTTTTATAACACTTAGAACAAAGCATTTTTTTTACATTTTAATTTTGATTTTTTTGCTAATTTAAACAGTTTAGCACTGTTTTTTTAACTTTATGTATTGGCTTGTCAGCCTTAATTCTCTTTAAACTTTTCGCCCAGACTGGGCATTATGTTCTCCTCTTTTCAAATTGCTACTATTGTGCAGTGATGGAGGTGTAATATATTGATTTGTCATAACTTTTATTCTCCATAAAGTTTTATAAATTAATTTAATTGTATAAAGTTTTGTTCTTGGAAACGTAGATGTTTTTTTTAGTTTCTTAGTAATAATTCCCTAAAAATAATAATATATAATGACTACTCTCAACCAATTAGTTAAAAATCCCCGTACGCCAAAGCCGAAAAAATCAAAATTATTAGCCTTGAAAGCTAATTGAAATACGCAAAGAAAAAGATATTCTCTTTCTAATAATCCTCAGAAATCAGGAATATGTAAAAAAATTGGAGTTAATAAGCCAAGAAAACCGAACTCGGCTAATCGAGCTTATGCCCGGGTTATTCTCAAAAATAAGAAAGAAATTACGGTCTATATTCCTGGTGAAAAGCATAATCTCCAAGAATATTCTTCGGTTTTAATTAGTGGCGGTGGAGCCCAAGACCTGCCTGGAGTAAAATATCATGTTATTCGTGGTTGTGGTGATACCGAAGGAGTGAAAGAAAGAAAACAAGGACGCTCTCTCTATGGAGCCAAGAAAGCAAAGAGTAAGTAATATTCCTAACTTACCTATTTCATATTCTCAACAACCAACTTTTAGAAAAAAAATCAAATGTTGAGTAATCCAGAAAAATTAATTACAATTAAAGATGTTTACCAGCAAGCCGAAAAAATAAGCAAGTTAGAAAAAATTAAGGTTGGCGGCTGGGTAAAATCGATCCGAGAAAGTAAAGAAAGAATATTTATTACTCTCAATGATGGCTCAACTTTAAAATCCCTCCAAGTAGTTATTCTCCAAGAAAATTTTTTAAAGTCAGGTTCGGTAAAAGAAATAAACTTTGGTAGTAGTCTATTAGTTAGCGGAAAATTAGTTCTTACTCCTGAACGCGAACAATCCTGTGAATTGCAAGACGTCAAAATCGAAATTGTTAACTCAACGAATTCTGATTATCCGCTCCAAAAAAAAAATATTCCATTAAAAACAGTTCGTGATTATTCCGAATTACGAGCCAAAACCAATTATTTTTTAGCAATTTTTCGTCTCCGTCACAGTATTAGCAAAGCCATTCATGATTTCTTTCACCAAGAAGGGTTTTATTATATTCCTACTCCAATTATTACCAGTAATGATACTGAGGGAGCCGGAGAAATGTTTAATATCACCACTAAAGAACCTTTTTTTTCCAATTCCGCTAAATTAACAGTCAGCGGTCAATTACAAGCCGAAGCCCTCGCCCAAGGATTAGGCAAAGTTTATACTTTTAGTCCTTGTTTCCGAGCCGAAAAATCTCACACTACCCGCCACCTAGCCGAATTTTGGATGGTGGAACCAGAAATGGTTTGGGCTGATTTAGAAGAAATAACCAACTTGGCCGAAGCATTAATTAAATACGTAATAAATTATGTTCTGAAAAATAATACTTCTGAACTCCAATACTTAGAAAAATACCACCTACTTTCAGCCGAGCAAAAACATACTAATAAGGAAATAATCAAAAGGTTAGAAAATTTTGTTAATAATCAGTTTAAAAAAATTGACTATGGCGAATGTATTAAAATATTAGAAAAAAATCAAGAAAATTTTGTTTTTAACGATATTAAATGAGGGATGGATTTACAATCGGAACACGAAAAATACTTATGTCAATACTTTGATAATCAGCCAGTTTTTGTGCTGAATTATCCCCGCGATTTAAAGGCTTTTTATATGAAAAATAATCTGGATGAGGAGAAAACTGTGTCTTGTTTTGATTTGCTATTTCCAGAAATTGGAGAGTTAATTGGTGGCAGTGTACGAGAAGATAATTACCAAACTTTACAAGAAAAAGCCCAAAAAATAGGATTAGATATTAATAATTTAAGTTGATATTTTGACTTGCGAAAATACGGCTATGCTCCGAGTGGTGGTTTTGGCTTAGGTTTAGAAAGGTTAATCATGTTTATTAGTGGGACTGAAAATATTCGTGATACCATTGCTTTTCCAAGATATCCGGGAAAATTGGAATTTTAGATAAGAAATCACTACTTTTGAAGACTAGCAAGATTTTAGTCTACTTGAGCTTAAATTTAGAGACCAAATAAAGGATAAGTAAAAATATTCCGTAAATAGGAAAAGAAAGCAACATAAATCCCATATCTGCCATTTGGTCTACCCTGATTCAAAAAAGATAATACCCAAAAGCAAACAATCAATAAAAAAACGAGAAGTATAAAAGCAATTTGCCTTTTTTCTTTCACGCTAAAATTAAAGCAAAAATAGATGAAACAAAAGAAATAAGTAGTAAAGTTAAAGAAAGGGGGAGAAAATAATGACATTAAGTTATTATTTTTGCTAAATTATGAATTAACGAATATTGGCGCGTAACTAATTAAAAAATTAATATAATATATGGTAAAAAAAGAAAAAAAATTATTTGGTTTCTTGCTTGTCTCTCATATATATTGTTTGATTTCAGCCTGATTTAATGGTGGAGATAAGATTAAATATCCCGGTTCTTTTTTTTGACATCTTTTAGCCTGGTGATGTACCTGAAATACCATTTTAACCATTGTTTTTATTCTTTGGAAACTGATAAAACGACCCAAAACTAATAATTATTCTTACCAAATCTTTTCTCTGATAGTCATGATTAGCAACATAATTACTATGTTAATTTATGGCCTGGGTCTGCTTATCTGATTAATTACCAGTTTGACCACTTACTGGGGAATTACCGGCCGAACAACCAAACTAGTTCCAATTCCTTTTCTTAGTTCCAAAAAAATGTCAAACAAACTAGGCATTAACCAAAATTATCGTTTTATTTGGAAAATTATTTTAGTTCTTTTCTGATTTAGTTTATTTAGTTTGCTAGTTTATTTTACTTTACGATATCGCAAAAAAATAAGAAATTATTTGACCAACAAAAAAAGGAATTTAGCAAGAAAGGTAATGCTTGCTTCAAGTCTTAACAAGAGAGAGGGAGAGAGAGAAATAAAAAATGTATAAAAAATGCCTAATCATTCGCTACGGAGAACTGTTTTTGAAGGGAAAAAATAGAAACGATTTTATTCAAAAATTAGTTGCTAATATTACCTTAGCTTTCCAAAAAAATAACTTTCCCAACTTTAATATCAAAAAACTATCCGACCAATTAATAGTCACGGCCGAAAATGATGAAGAATTGCCGAAAATGATTTCTCCCTTAAATAAAGTGTTTGGGATTAGTGTCTTTTATCTAGCTTATCAGTTAGAAAAAGATTGTGAAAAACTCTACAACTTTGTTAAGGAAATTACTAACTATTACCAAATTAATTTTACCACTTTCAAATTTGACATTAGCCGGAGTGATAAAACTTTTGTCAAAAATTCCTTAACATTACAAAAAGAGTTGGGGGAAATTATAATCCAAGAGAAAGGTCTAAAAGTCAATTTAAGCAGTCCAGAAAAAACTTTTTATATCCGAATTTATCGTAATTTTATCATTTTTTTTACTGAGAAAATAAAAGGTTTAGGCGGTTTACCAGTCGGCAGTTCCGGAAGAGTTCTGTTGCTTCTAAGTGGGGGGATAGATTCGCCAGTAGCTGCCTACCAATTAATGAAAAGAGGTTCGGAAATTATTTATTACCACTTTTATCAGCAAAAAGAGGGTCAAGAAAAAATATTTAAGTTGGTGGAAAAACTAAGCCCTTATAATAATTATTCTAATAATATTTATCTGGCTGATACCCAGACCCTTTTGACCGAAATTAGCCATATTAGCCAAGCAAAATACCGTCTTGTCATTTTAAAAAGAATGTTTATTCGTTTGGCTTGCTCCTTAGCCCAAGAATTAAAAATTAGAGCAATTGCGACTGGCGACTCACTATCCCAAGTGGCTTCCCAAACCTTAGAAAGTCTAGCAGTCATTCAACAAGTTAGTTCCCTAATTATATTACAACCTTTGATTAGTTATGATAAAAACGAAATAATTACCGAAGCACAACGAATAGGCACTTATAACCTTGCTCTAAGCAAATATGAAGATTGTTGTTCCTTATTTGAACCCAAGCATCCCATAACTAAACCAAGAAAAGAGGTAGCAGAAAAATTAGAGATGGAAAAAGGACTTTTTTGAAGAGAAGTTTTAGAGAGAATTGGTAAAAAAATAGAATTGCTTACGGTTTAGTTAGCATATTTTGGACTTAAAATTGATAGTTGTCGTGGAAGATATTGTTAAAAATATAAATATATAAAAGAACTAAAAAATGGTCAAAATTCGTTTAAGCCTCAAAGGTAAAAAAGGTCAACGCTCTTTTTGAATAATTGCAATTGACGAAAGAAGAGCCCGTGATAGCGGTAATTATTTAGAGTATTTAGGATTTTATAATCCCCGCAGCAAAGAAATAAAATTGAATAAGGATAGCATTAACAAATGATTAAATCACGGAGCCCAACCTACTGATACTGTACGCGATTTGTTTAAAAAACACCTTTAAAAGTCTTTGTAATGAGAGAGGGAAGGTTTGTAACCAGGTTAACATCTTTTTTGTCTTCTCTTGCGAACAATTATTATTAAAGTGCTTAGGGCTAGGAGCGAAAGAACTAATATAACTATTGGTTTTACTAAACCATTCTTCTTAGGTTTTTCCTGCCCTGTGGCAGAAGTTTTCTTACTTAAAGCTTGTTTCAAAATAAGTTGTTGCATTTGGTAGGTAAATTCAGCTATTTTTTGCGGACTATCTAAACTCCTTAAATAATCTTTTCAATTATTACTTTCGCCGAAGTTTTTCGTGTCTAATTGCTGTCCCGAGATAGCATTGTCTTTTAGTAATTTTTCAATTTCTTGCTCGGCTTTTTGCTTAGCTTGGGGGAGCGAAAGGTTAGCAATTTCTTGGATATCTGGGGGCAATTCGTTATTATTTTCTCCCCTTTGGTTAGGAATGTTATTGGAGTTGTCGTCAGAACCAGATTTAGAATTGTTGTCTAAGTCGTCTTTCTCTGTTCCTTTTCCCCCATTTCTGTGGTCTGGGTATTCGTCTTGCTGGGTCTCGGGAATATTTTCTTTCTCGTCTTGATTATTTTTTCTTCATTCTTCCGCTCAATTTTCACGACACTTTTTCGAACAAAATATTTCATCCCTCCCTGTAAAAGAATAAGTAGTATATTTTCCTTCTTCATTAGCGGAGAGTTTTTCCTTACAATAATGACAATTTGGCAAACTTTCAGGGTCAAGGCCGTTCATCTTTTTTTCGAGTTTGTGGCGACACTGGGCAGAGCAAAAAATCTTTCCTTTGATTTTTCCTCATCCCTTTTCTTTCCAACTTTTTTCACCTTTTTCTATTTTCCCAACTTTCCCACAATCATCGCAAATATTAAGGCAATTATAACAAGGCTCCGAGCAAAAATGATAATATTCGTGTTCTCCTTTACCTTTTTTATGTTCTTTATATTTTTCTCGGTCAAAATCATATTCTTTTTCGCAATAAGAACATTTCTCCATTCGGGGCTGACCTCCATCCGGACCCGATGGGTTATCCTTATCAGTTAAAAGATCATAGGCTTCCTTTATTCGCTG